GTGCAAGACATACTTTCCTTTTCTACTCTAGGGCATGGCCACAAGTCGGATCAGCTGTCTTGAGTAGAGGGTGGGTGGGGAGGGGAGTACGTGACGGGGATGAGATAATGAGATAGTGAGGTGTAGTGAGAGAACAAGCTCCTGTGTGAGTGGGAGGAAGGGGGTGGGGGAGATGAAAAGAATGATTGTTGCCCGGATGAGATACGCCTCACGCAGGTCGTGAGGGAAGGTCTGCTGGGAGAAGCTGTCACTTCTTGTATGTCAAGTCTGTTAAGGGGAGGTAACCGGGGTTTTAATTTTTTTTTTTTTAAATGTTCACATGGACCGCGGAAAATCCAATTGGTGTAATAATTAAATAATAGGGGGAAAAAAGATTACTTATAGAATGTTCTAGTTTGGGTTTGATAGGAAATTGAGTTCAGTGAGTCAGTAAATAAAAATTATAAAAATATTCCCAGGTGTGAAACTTTGGTTTTCGGAACACACGCGCCTGTATTACTGTACAGTAATTTGAAATGTCCTACGATCAGGTGAAGGGTTGACTCGTCTTCACAAATATATTTCAGCTCTCAAAAAAGCAAAAAATCAAGCACTCTGGTTATTGCTAGTTGCATTTTCAGGTTAAAAAAAATAACATTGTAATTAGACGTTTTGTTTTAGATCTATGTATAAGTAAACCATCTTACATGAATGAAAGTAGGCTACATGTAAGAAAGAAGTTTTACTATCGTAAATCTGTATCAGTCCTCACAAGCCGATGATGAAAACTGTAGTACTAAAGTGAACATGCAAGGCAAACTGACACTGTAAATTATGTCTGAGGCCAAAAAAAAAAGTATTTATTTTATCTAAGAAAAAATTGTTTTGACCCTCCAGTGTCGCTTCACTGTCCCATAGTCTCTCTCCAACCATCAACGACTTCTTTTCCGCTCCCCACCCGGATTCCAACACTTTCATTTTAATTTCACACCCCATATTAATCCTAGTATAACCACATTTATGCCTTGATGTAAATATTCATTACGTACAGTTGATAATCATTCGGTTTTATTTGATGTTTGAAATTATGTAAAATATGTTGGTGTTGATGTACTTGTTTTAAATTAAAAATAAAAGTATTGAATTTTTTTTTAAACTATGATGTTATCGGCATCGGTTACATAATTTCAATCATCGTGTGAAACCGAAAGATTTTACAGCTGTAGGCCTATATAATTAATTTACATATAACAAAAAAAATTCAGCTCTATTTATTAGCCTATTACCCCCCAACCCACTCAAGCAAACAATGAAAATTCCATTTTCCAGGTTATTTTTTTTTTACTTCCTTAGACCCTCCTCCTAACTTTCCACAGCACATTAAATTAACGTTTTAATGTTCAGGTCAAAATTTATTTTATTTTTTAAATTGAAGGTTTTGTACTATCTATAAGTAGACTATTTTTTAGTGAATGAAAGCATTTGAGGAAAAAAAAGTATTACCATTGTCAATCTGTATCAGTCCTCACAAGCCGATGATGAAATCTGTAATACTAAAGCGAAGACGGCAAGGCAAACTGACTCTGTAAATTACATGTCTGAGATGGCAAAGGTGCCTGTCTTATGATCTTCTAATGATCTTTGGTGACACAAGACCTGTTTTATGATCTTTGGGTTTGCAGTTGTTTTTTAAACAAAGTGCCAATGTAATGCAGTTATTTGGAAAATTTTGGGACAAAAATGCCAGTCTTATAAGACTTTTGGGACAAAAGTGCCCATTTAAATGCAGTTATTGAAAACTTTTGGAATAAAAGCGTCAGTCGTATGGAATTTTGTAACAAAAGTAGCAGTCGTATGAAATGTTGTAACAAAAGTAGCAGTCTTATGAAATTTTGTAACAAAGTAGCAGTCTTATGAAATTTTGTAACAAAAGTAGCAGTCTTATGAAATTTTGTAACAAAAGTAGCAGTCTTATGAAATTTTGTAACAAAAGTAGCAGTCTTATGAAATTTTGAAACAATGGTGCCATTCCTATGGCAGTTCCAGAACACTCACCCTCTTCTACCCAGATCTCCACATGAAAGTGACGCTCACTGCCGGCTCGGTGCAGGGTCTACCTGCATCACAAACCTCGTCCTTCTTCTCTTTGTTGTCTGCCCACATGTGCAAAGACGAGACAGCAAAGGGAGATAATTGTGTCGAATAACATTCTTGTTCGACCAGAGTTATCCCTGATTACTCGGTTGCCTTGCTTGTGAATTGGAATTTGATGTACAAGAGATATTGTGATAGTTTTGTGATAAATATGTGATATTGAATAGAGAGCTGCCAAAGAAAAAACTTTAAAACTGATTTTTTTTAGAACAGGTTGAAAGATAAGGAAGGCTTGACGTGGTTGACTTCGTATCGGAATGCAGTACTTACTAGATTCTAGAAGCAAGTCTTAACATAGATTCAGGCAACTGCCTATTATTACAAGTTTTCTAAAGTGACAGTTAAATTGTAATCGGAATATAGATCATTGACCCATCCATCTATCTTTCCAGTTTTCTAATTAAATCTCATTTTAAGTTTCAAAAATGTTTTCATGAAAGGAAAATACCAGAGATCACATAACAATTTAATTTTTTCGAGTTTCTTAATCATTCGATCAAGTGAAAATGGGAGTTGATACCTTACTGGCGTCGGATACACATTTATATGGCACATATGACATCTCATGATCCATATGACATCATATGACACCACATTACCCATATGACATCAAATGATTTATATTACATCACATCCCCATATAACACCATATGCGCCATACTACATTGCATGCTGCACATAACTTCGTATATCAAAATGTAACATCAAACATTGCAAATGCTACCCTATAACCAATATACCATTCACAACCCTATACTGACATTTTAAGCCCAAAATGACATTATGTGCGCCGAATGAGATTGTATGCTTCAAAATTATGTCATTTATACCAAAATGACGTGTCAAATGTGCCACGATATGCCCATAATGACATCATGTTCCCCAAATGACATATGCTCCAAAATGACTTCATATGAAATCTTAAAACTTAAAGTGTATATGCCCCAACCCAAATGACATCTTATGCCCCAAATGTCATCACAACATTCCTTTACCATCGAATGCCCGGTCTAACTAGAATAAGACTCCTGCATCCGTGACCTGGGTTAACTTTACAAAAAACATTCACAAGGCATTTATCTCTAAGGAATGGAATGTCGTTTTCTTCTATAAACTTAACAATAATAGCTTCGTTATTCCCAAATGTGCTGAGTCATCGATTTATTTTTCCTCATAACTGACGCCCCGGGCAGAAATAACGCTGATGATTTTTATCTTTTTTGGTCTGTTATTTCGAATGTATGGGGCTGCTTATGTGTTTGAACTTCCTCCCAATCTATAGCTCTCTCTTACTCCCAATCTATAGCTCTCTCTCACTCTCAATCTTTAGCTCTCTCGTGTTCTCCCTGTTTCTACCTATCTCCGTCTCTTGCATTCTCGCTCTCATCCTCTGTTCCTCGCTCTTTTGCTCTTTCTCTCCATCTCCCCCCTTCTCTCTCTCTCTGTCATGCTTTCACCCTTGCCCAATTACTCTTCCCTCCTCTCACTCTTTCACCTCCGCTACCCCCCCCCCCCCCCGCCCCCCAATCCCATCCCCTAAACTCACGACCCCACCCAACAAACTCACGATCCCCCTCCCAAACTCACGACCCCTACTCCTAAACTCGCCACCCCACCCCCCGAACTCACCACCCCACCCCCTAACTCACGACCCCACCCCCAAACTCACGCCTCCACCCCACACACACACCCACCCTTCTATGCCAGCTTATCACCCAAATGTCCACAACTCCGTCTGATGGCAAATTAGCAAATGATTGTCCCCCTGAATGGACCCTGGCCCCTGGGTCAGCGTCCACGTCAAGCCGTCTATGAATGGACGTGCCCCGGGGTCATAAACCGGACCCCAGCCCCCCGGCAGCCAGACTTGACTGGAGGGCAATTGCCAGGAATCAGATCCCCATTTGGCGGCGTCTTGTGGTGTTTACTTCTCTGATGGAGGCGGGATTTATAGCCTCATTATCACGTGCTGTTGACAGTTTTGCTATTTATAGCCATATCACCACGTGCTGTTTACAATGTTGCTATTTTGTGTCATGTCACCACTTGCTGTTTACAATGTTTCTATTTATAGCATCGTCACCATGTGCTGTTTACAATGTTGCTATTTATAACCGTGCCACCACTTGCTGTTTACAACGTTGCTCTTCACTGCCTATTCACTGTGTTCTGTTTACAGTACTGCTATTCGGAGTTTCGTTAATATGTGCTTTTTACAATGTTTCTATTTATACCATTGTCACGCTAAACTAGTTCTAGCTGGAAGTATGTGACAAGAATTGAGCATACCATTGTAATTTAAGAAAGGTATCCAACTATTAGTTAAAATAAAAATAATGAAAACATAAGAAAGTTGTTGTTTTTTTTTCAGTTGAAAAAATGATCACAAAAATTTTCTGAACTTAGTCTTCGGTGGTATAACTTAGTGAAGAGGGCAGGTGATTACAAAAATATTAAGTCAAATTGTACGGACAGCAAATAAAGTTAAGAATGTGAAATCTTATTGTTCTGACTCAAAATAAAGTTAAAATAGGGACATAGCTACTTTTGAACTGAGATATTTATATTTATCATAAGGTCAAAAACTGTACATATCAGTGTGTTTATTTTGTTACTTACTGTCATAAATATCGGTACGGGGCGTGTGTTCACGTGTAGGCGTCACATTTGGGACATGGACATTTTAGTGCGTGTTTTCGGGTGTAGGCGTCACCTTTAGAACATGAACATGTTGGTGCGCGTGTTTACGTGAAGGCGTCACCTATATTACGTGAATTAGTATGTGCATGTGTTTGTGTGTGAACTATAGAAGTGTGTGTTCACATCAAGGCGTCACCTACAGAACGTGAACATGTTCGTGTGTGTGTTCACACGTGACCCTCTGGCCGGCAGCTCACCCCCATAAATCTCGAGACAAAGATGAGTTTAAAACACTTCCTGAACCTGCTGTTGTACTGGATGTACAGCACGGTGTTGACGCTGGCCGTCACCTGAATCCAGAAGATTCTCACGTACTGGGTCGTGGCGTTCAGGTTGCTGTAGCGCCTCCCTGGGGCAAACTCTTCGATGAAGACCATCGCTAGGGCGTTGGCTGACACAAGGACAACCTCTAGCAACAAGAACCCAGTGAGGATGGCAACGGTCTTCAAGACTTTGAGTTCCTTGTTGCTTAACATTACAGTGTTACTGGTTTCATTGTCTTGGCTATCGGTTATAATTTTTGTTATGTCTGTTTTAAAGACATGAGTCATTGTACGTCTAACCCGTGATGCTTTGATCAGCGCCTTGGTGAGAACGACGGAACAGACGATAACAGTGGAAGAAACAAGGACCGGGTAGATGGTTTCGTTGAGTAAGAAGTTCACACGTTCGTAGGTCGGGTAGTCGCTGGCGAACCACAGCTTGAAATCTGATTGGTTGTTGTAGGGCGACCTCTGCCAGGTCACGCCGAATTTAGAGTACCTGGGGAACTTGGTGGTGAAGCAGGCTAGGACGATGATGATCAGAACCACGAGAGTCCGGCGTGTGGTGAACATGAGCTTGAAGGTCAAAGGTTTGACCACGCAGCAGCATTTGACCACGGAGATGTAGGTGCCGATCGCGATGGACATGTTGAAGAACAGGTCCATGTAGGCGGAGGAGTACCCGCCGAGGGAGAAGAGGCTGGCGATTTTGAAGACGTCCTCCGCATTGATGGCCCGGTTCAGGTAGGCCACGCTGACGGCCGAGCACACGACGTAACACGCGTCCACCACGGCCAGAGCGAGGAAGGACAAGGTCACGCTGTCCTGGATGCCGACCTTGAGGAAGACGGTGATGTTGACCGTGTTGCAGGTGAAGCAGAACACGGAGACGAGCGGCCAGAGACCGGAGTAAAAGACGCGACGGAGGATCTTAAACTGCTCGTTGGTAATCAAAGGGTCAAAGGTTACCACCGATACGTTATAGTACGCCTGCATTTTCTCGCCAGCTTTGTACTGTAGATGTCTATTTATAGTTGAGCTAGTCTTGTAAAGAAATTACTTCAACTTGACAACAACAAAGGCTGTGTCTTGATTCACTTTTAACTCAACTTTCTACGTGTGTCTTTTATCACGACTTAAAAAAACCACTCTGCGGCACAATCTTCTAGACTTGCTAATCACACCCTATGCATTTTGTAGTTATAAATTTCCAATCTTTTAGATCACAACAGATGGTGTTGATCACAAATCTTCACCATATAGTCTAGTACCAATCTTATTGTAACTACTAATGACAGAGTGCATAAAACGAACCTAACAGATAGCTTATGAAACTACAGATAAGGAAGTGCCTGCAGTCTCAGCTACTCATTACATTTATGTTCGCTCAGTAATTACGTTACTAATAAATTTTCGTTGCTACTTATTACATTTTCAAAGTAAACGTTTCAACATCTAATTGTATTTGTCAAGTAAATCTTCATGCTACTAATAACCTTTTAAAAATTAACGATTAAGGCAAAAAACTACTTTGATTACATTGAGTTATTAAGCTATTGATTGCAATTACATTGAACTATTAAGCTAGTGATTATGGAAGCTGTCACTAAATGACATCACTCCCGTGTTGACATCTGTTATTAGTTAGACAAATACGAAAGCTGTTAAACTCACAAGGGTGTATCTAAATGGCAGTTTAATTAAGTTCCATTAAGTCGGGTCTCTGTCTTGGGGTAGGATCTACATGTTAGAACACTGTCATTACATTGTGGACATGCTTGTCTTGTCCGGGGTCTTTTGAGTTTAATCGCACATTCCAGAAACTCTTTAAATGTAGGAGTTTGTGTGTACTCTGCCGGTTCTTGTAATTCTGATGATGGATTAATTTAATTTGACATCAAAATGAAACATCTGCCTTGTGTTGTGAGTAGAGTACAAGAGTACTGGAGTACATGAGTACTGGAGTACATGACCTTGGCGACCCACTGGCATTGATATCTTTAGACCGTGACTTCCTCGTTTGAGCTCTTTAAAAAACGGTAGAGGTTTCCAAATGTATTTATTGTTATACCCGAGGCACCACAGTGTACTCTATGCACTATTCTACCAGCATCGTGTATACACATACATATATGTGCCATATAAATGGTACCTAGGCAGTTCCGTTATTAACAATCTATGACGTACATTCGGTACCGTTGTGAATTGCAGCATACCAACTACGGTGAACTGTATTCTTAGCGTTATTACATGTCTTGTGTTCTCACCCCCCCCCCCTTTAGTAGAGGCATTGGCATGCCAAACATTTTTTTTGTTCTTTCACCCATGTTGTTTTCAATATTCGTCAAATTTTATTTCCCCCCAAACTTTAAAAAAAATTGTATTTAACACACAAAAAATTGTAACGGCGCATAAAAATGCTAATTTCAACTCGACTTCATCAAGCCTGTTTATTCCACTGGTCGCACCCATCCATCTCCCCCCCCCCCCCCCTACCCCGACCCTCATCTCTTGTTTGATCTCATTCGAATTTCCAATTTTTTAAAACATCACATTGTCTAATCGATAATGATGGGGGTGGGAGGAGGGGGGGGGGTTAAATGAGGGATGAGGAGGGTGGGGGTGCTGGAATGAAACGTCTTTGTTGCTATCGTCCTCACCCCTTTAAAAACATGAACAGCTTTTCTCTCCTTGGGCGGATCTCAATTTCTTTTTTTTTTTCAGAGACTTTTTTTTTGGCAATACGTTCCTTTTGGGCCTTTGTTGAAAAAATCATTACGAAGACAAGCACTGCATTAAATGAATGCCCAGAGTTATCTTTCCGATTTCCTCTGTACCGATTAGTCCCTTCATCCCACTTGCTATTGACGGTTTCAGTTCTGTTTGATGTCTTCAACTGTTATCTCAATAACTAATTTTCTCTTATAACTTTTTTTTTCTGGAAAAAAAAATGTTGATTATGTAACTAACCTATGGTTAAAAAGTTCAACCCATGGCTAACACACACTTCAGTTGCTGCATTTCATTGTCAAGTTAACAGGTGCATTGAGTAAAATAGGAAAAGAAATGGACGTATTGGATGTATTTTAAAATAAACAGAAAGCCAGTGTTACAATGATTCTATATTAAGCTCCGGCCAGTAGCCTGGTAGTGTGCTGTGTCCAGGGTCTGCAACTTTAGAAGGATTCAGTGGTCTGTCATAAGCCATTCATAGCACCATGCAGAGGCGTAGCTAGGGGGTGGCGGCTGGGGCGGCCGCCCCGGGTGTCAACCCTAGATATGCGCCATACGGGCTAGAAAAAAGATCATTCTCATCTGCGTTACGGAATTATACAAGTTAAGAAAATTGACTGGCCACAAAGGCACAGCCGTCAAGCATCCGATATTTGCTTTGAGTTGTCATGCCTATTGCAGAGTGTGATGTTTAACAATTATGTTGATACATGCTATTTTTAACGTAAAAATCATATGATGTCACACATTCTAAATAAAGAAAAGAAAGGCGGTGTTGTTGTATAGACAAGCGAATGGCCCTTTAATAATTCGTTGTTCTATTTTCCGACGCCTAGACGACGGAATTATTTTTTCCCATGACAATCGGAAACAGCTGAACTTCGAGAGGTGGATTTTTTTAATGTGTTGTTGTCAATCCTCTTGTGTTTGGTTGGCTTTTTGTTTATGTCGTCTCAGCTTAAAAGCTGTATTATTGTGTCGTTAATTGGGATCTTTGTTATTAAATTAGATTTGTATTGTATTCCATACCGGTATTGTGTCTTTTAATGTCTTTATATTTGTAGTTATACGGATTTTTTTCATTCTGTTAGCTTTTGGTCTTTTATTGTTTTGAACTTTTACTGTGTCTTGACCTTTTTGGGTGCCCTTTTACTTTCTCTTTTCTTAATTTTAACGATGAGCTTTGCAGATTTATCCCAGTTTAAATCACTTTTCTATTAAGAGAGGGCGGAGATTGAGATAATCTCATACAGATTCACTGACGAAGTTAATTTTCGATTGGAAACTTCGGCCCGAGCTTATCCGATGTAGAGGTTCTTAAATTCCTTTTTTTTTTTCTTGATTATCATGCTATTTTTATTACGTTATGCATTTATATGATCCTTTTTCTCTTTTCGGATTTAGATCAATTTAATCCTTTTTTTAAAATTATTTCTTCTCTGTCTTTATTTAATTAAAAAAATATGGATGGGTTGATGAACTGTGTATTTTTCTTATCTCTGTGTAGCTTCTAAATTGCTGCTTAGTTACAATCAACTTCTAAACTTTTTTTGAAATACTGAACACCACTACTTTCATATCCGCATTCACAGAACCCTTCTTAATAGTTCCTTCGTCCGTTTTGACAATCTGTGTATTAGTCGGGTGTGTGTCTCTGAACCCCTGAGACCGACTCATCAAACCCCAGGGGTTCGATAGAACACAGGTTAAGAAACCGCTGTTCTAAAGAGGCAAACAGTAGCCAATACACAGGGATATTAAAGCCCGCAAATAGGGATAGGATGGACATATCTTAAGAAAGGAAGGGGATAACATCGCGTTAGATTGGAATCATCAGGTGAAGAGGAAAGTTGGCCGGCTAAGGAAATCATTGAGAAGAACAGTGGAAGATGAGGCAAGGACTGCCGGGATAACATGGGCGCTAATAAAGAGAGCCGTTCAAAACAGAGTCCGATGGAGAGGTGTGGTTGCAGCCCTTTGTTCCTCGGGGGCCTTAAAGGAACAAGAGAACTGGTGTCTAAAGAGTCTAGTTGAACTAAAGGCTTGGACTCACTGTAAAGCAGAGTAGCCATTTTTTTAAATGGGCTCCATCAATCGAATTCTCTGAAAAGTGAACACGCTTAATTAAACGTTGATTAATTCAACGGCGTTACAAACTCCGGTGCATGTGCAATCAGCACCACGTTGCCATGGTGATGCAGAGGTCGATATGAGGGACAACTGCTGCCTGGTGCTGACGACATTTCTTGTCGAGTTAGGGGCCTTGGTGGTGCACCAGATGCATTGATTTCCTCATCACTGCTGGTGGGGACGTAACATTCCCCTCGTCCCTAAACCTAAAGATTATATGTCCGTTGTTGTTTGTTAGGTTTTTTTTTTTTTTTTTTTTTTTTTTTCACTTATTCAAACTTTACGTAAACCACCACGACTGGATTGGCGCACGCATTTTCTATTAGAATGTTCTCGACATTGTCAGACTCTACCACCATTTGGCCAACCCTGTACAGAGAAGGGAGTGGGGGGGGGGGGGGGGGGGGGGGGGCGAACCAACTAGATATCAGCGCAACGTTGGATCTGGAAAAAATTGGAATATTGGAAAACTTTGATTCAATTTCACGTCAATGACTTGTAATATAGGACTAGACATCTTTGAACTCTGTGTACCGCAGGATTTCCGTGCTTATTTTTTTTTCTAAGTTAAGGCCGCATTTCTCAACCACCAACCACTCCACCGGTTTTCATTTCAGCGATCTTAAGTAATATTATATAACGTTTTCTTCTTTTTTTTTTCTTTTCTTTTTTTTTTTGTTTGTCGTACAAGATTTGATTTGAACTTTTAGCCTATGTAAATCTTCACGCCGTCCAAATTTGGGTTTACAGTTTTAAAGTCGACCACAAAAAGACAATGCCTTGGTCAACATTTGACGTAATTTAATTATATCCTTAACATCGTTAAACTAATTTTGGCAGCTCTATAAGGGTTAATTTTCCATCACGTTGATTGTTTATTATTGCTCGGAACAAATTGCTTGAAATCATTCATAAAAAATTAAAGACAATCAATGGTTATTTTCTAATTTGTATTGTCCCTTTGTGAAAATGTCAAGCCTTTTTGAGACCTTAAAAAATTATTTAAACAAAAATTAAGCTGCCACTGTCATAATTTTTTTTAAAAAAAACAGAGATGGGAGGGGGTGGTTGTTTGTTTTGTGGCCTCTTGAATTTTTTTTTTTTTTTTTTTATTTTTTTTTTGAAAGCGGGAG